AGGTAGATGGTTATTATCACGTAATCGGTTAATTATCGTTGTCGGATAGTTGTAGTGGATTACTTATCGGAGGGTCGATTTCCGAGCGAGGCATTCTTTGTTGATCGACCGTGATGTGTATCTGTAGTCGTATTGTAATTTGTATTTGAGCTAAAGAGTAGTCATTTGTATTTGCACAATTTGAATTTAACTTGATTTGATCGCACTAGTATTTGTTATTTGTTGATTTGATTTGTGTCTTTTCTTTTGTGCTAACTTGTATTTAATTAATAAGTAGTAGTTCGTATTGGTGTAATTTCTATTCAACTCGATTTGATAGGAACTGCATTTGTTAACTGTAAATTTTTTTTGTATTTGTTATTTGTGCTCGAGCCGCGTCGTAATTTGTATTTAGTAGTGATGATATCGCCCAAGCTACTAATCCGTTGCCTGCGGACTGAGCTACGCTGGGCCACCAGCGCCCATGCTTTGATAGGTCGACTGGATAGAGTCCATAACTTGATGAAGCGGCTCGAACAGGTCGATGCTCAAAGGGCCGCAGTGGAGGAGGCTTACGCTGAGCTCGAGGATTCGCATTTGGAAAGGAAAGTCCTGGACTCCTGCTTCGCGGACTACGAGCAGTTCTTTTCGCTCACGGACGAGTTGATCGAGGCATAAGGCAGGTATGCCGAGGAGGCGCGTGAAGCTCAGATGAGTGGCCTGCCCGAGTCCTCTCGGAGGCAGCCTCAGCCGAAGCTGTTGGGACGACTCCCAACTCTGGACCTGCCAAGGTTCTCCGGCGTCCTTTCCGAATGGCTGACCTTCGTTGGTCTTTTCGACAGCCTAGTAGACGCCCGGATTGACTTGACCCCGAGCCAGAAGATGGCGTACCTCCTGGCCTCACTGGAGGGGGAGGCCCTGGGCGTCGTCGGCCACTTAGGATTGTCGGACGACGCCTACCAGACTGCACGGGACCTCCTAGCCAGAAGATACGCCGACGTTCAGTGAATTGCGGACGAACATGTTAAGCAACTTCTAAGCCTCCCGCTGCTGAGTGACCGGGCCAGACTACGTCCGGACCTGTTGAGTCCAGTCTTGGTGGCCTGTAATACGTTGAGGTGGCTGGATTTACCAGTGGGCGAATGGGCCTTTTTGCTGCTCCGCATCGTGCTGTCCCGTCTACCTCTCGACCTTCGAATACATTTTGAGGAGAGGTACGGCGGAGATGGGGCCTCCTATGTTCCGCCCTTCAATGACCTGCTGTGGTTTTTGGAGGAGCAGTGCTGGCAAATTGAGAACGCGGCGGGCACCGTTGACGACCTACGAGCCGTGCCCAATGAGAGGCGGAATCTGCCGGGTAAGTCGTCGTCAACCCAACCCCCCCCCCAGGCCTATCGGAGCTGGGAGGGCGTCGCTCCCTACCATCCCACAGTGGCCTAGCGGCCAGAGAGGCACGCCCCTGCTCCTATTGTCGAGCACCTGATCACCGGGTAACATCGTGCCCGAAATTATTAAGTAAGCCGGTTCCGGCGAGGCGAACTATCGCCAAGGAGCGCCGCTGGTGCTACTGATGTTTGGAAGGGCACCTCCAGCGAGACTGTCCGCACCGGAGGCCCTGTCTGCATTGCCAGGGCAACCACCATGCAGTTTTGTGCCTGGGTGCAAATTGCGGCTGGGTGCGGGTTGGGTGTCCCAAGCACAGCACGCTGTCATTTTTTTGTGCGGGAACGCGAAATAGTTTTGGCGCGCCTAGTAAATATACTGTCTAGCATTCGTATCGTGCATTCCTTGTTTGAGAGCTTTTCCCGGGACTTCTTGAGTCTAACTCAGAATCTGTATAAGGGTATTCGACAATATTAGCTACTACTGCGGCATTTGATATTCTAGAAATAATTGTTACCTTTCGCAAGGTAACAATTATTTCGGTAGTGAACTTTGATCCGGACATTTGTGTTCGTGCGGTGTGTTACGTTTTTGCTTATAGCAACGGGATTTTGTATAGACCGACATTCTGTATTTGTGTTGGGTGTTACGCTTTATAACAAATTAGAGTTAGTGGCTTCTGGAAGTTAGTTAATTGTGCGATAAAGTTAAGGACTGTCCTCGTGAAGAACGAAGAAAGTGACTGTGGACGACTCCGCGGAAGATTACCACAATTTGGAGCGGTGCTGAAGTCCGAGCTGCTGCCGACGGCAACAGTCTCATAAGGTCTACCACACTCAGTCACACACAGATACACATCACTGACCCTTACTTCCCATGTACCATACAACCGCATGCGACCTGACCGAACCCTGAGGGACCAGTCGCCCTGGATATAGGTAGGTAAGCTCAGTTTTAATATTCTCCCTGTTGAATGGCAGTAGGATAGACCGCTCCCCCTTATTGTTTATTGTAATTAGAGATTTTTCACTTTGGCTTTACGAGGCCCGACCTGCATCTGCTTGTGGGATCTTCCTTCATGGGCCGGGAATACCCTACTCTTGGATAGGCAGCTGCACGCCGTAACAGTGGCTGTAGCACGAATGGATCGGGTCAACCGGGGTAGGACAACGCTCTCACAGAAAACCAGCGTAAAGTAATAGCTTATTGCTGCTGTGTTTCGTATTGTGAGTGTAGAGAACCGGAGACTGCTTTGCTGGAAACGAAGTATTCCACCTTATTCCTCAGAAGTGACAACCATCCGCATTTTGATTCTTATTCGAGAAGAAATGTAGAGTCTATGGATCGTAGCTTCCACTTACCATCAGGTGGACTGTGTGCTCATTTGTCTCCTTTATCCTATAAAAAAACAGCCTGTAATTTCATTGGTATAGACACCCTTCAGACCGAACTGCAGTACTGCAAGCACTATTAGTAGCTGTGTGTCGGCAGAAATATGTAAGAAGATGGTACTGACTCAGACGGACACTAAGAAAGAGAGTCCTACTGCCTAATTGTTTATAAGATTTACAAAATTTTATCAATAAAATAATAATAATAATAATTGTGCTGATGGACCGGGCACAGTCAAGGATATTTTTGGTCGACATTACCATTCCCTATGACGAGAACCTCGTGAAAGCCGAAAAAGATAAGCTGACAAAATATCTGGACCTGGCTCACGAGGTGACAGACATGTGGGGTGGTCTGCCGGCCGAAATTATTCCTGTGGTCGTTTCTGCGAACGGGTTAATCCCAGTCAGCCTCTCGGGTCATCTGAGGCGACTGGGACTCCGTGACGGACCGCTCCAAGCTCAAATGCAGAAGACGGTACTCCTCGATACCGCCCGCATCGTCCGCCGGTTTCTTTCCCTTTCCCCCTAACCCTCGGCCGTTTGCTCTCCCCTGCCGAGGGCTTCTATCTGGTTGGGTTTTTATATATTTATGTATTTTTTATGTATTTATTTTATTTTATTCATATTTATGTAAGTTTATCATTTTCATTTACAATTATATATTTATACTGCCCAACCAGATGAGAAAACTTTATAGATACCCCAAAATAATAATAATAAGGCGTAGGGAAGTGACGACCCCATCGCCCGCTGACGTAACGGTTATGTGACAAAACTGCTACGTCAGCGCAGTCAGTCAGCACCTTGCCAAGAGGTGTTAGCGCCGTGTCTCGGCAAAATTGGAGGTGCAAAGGCCCGATTGTGCACATGGCCTCACCATGAAACGGTGCCGGGTCTGGGTATCTCCCGTTAACTGACGCCCAATTCATGGATGATGGATTTAAGAAATACGCGCAATGGGCCGCTGCCTGGAGGTCGCCAAGGCGCGTCTGGAGCTGGCGCTGGACGCGGCAGCATGCGAACCGCCAGTCGACCGCGAGTTGCTGCACGATCACCCAGCAGCCCCTCGCATCCATCATCCCCACCAGCTGGCTTGGTGTTGGCAGGGTTTACGTTGGCCCAGCAATCAGCACCCGCCACTGGTGGAGTACGCCGCATGCGTTGGTCAATGAAAATGAATAAAAATGCATTGCGGGCGTACTTTGGGGCGAAAGGGATAGAAATTGGAGGTTTTGGGTATCGGGCTAGGATGCACCGACTATTTGCTGAGCTGGAGCCATCTATTACCGTTACCGAGCAAAACCTGGCAGACCGAGTTCGGTACATCATGCGCTCAAAAATATTTGATGACGCCGAACTCGAACGGCTACGACGTGAGGCTATTCCTTTGTCGAATGAAAATGCTACGACAGAAGATGCGGCCCTACGAGTTACAGAGCAACCCGCACATGTAGATGCCGCCGTAGATCTCCTTGTAGTTGACTCAGGCGACGATGGAATAGTCGCCCCAGAACTAGAGCAAATGAGGAGCATAGTGGAAGAGGCGATTAGGGAAACGCGCAGTACGCCTCTCGAGAATCGACCGCGACTTCCCCGTATACCCCTAAGCAAGCGGAATCGGGCTGTCGTGAGGGCTCTCAACCCAATGCTGGTGACCTATTTGGAAGCCAGCCGGGACCTTTGCGTGACGGACTCAATTCTTTTTGGCGCCGCACTGGCAGTTTGCCGTATTATTGGCGCCAAACTTCCCAAGGCTGGACGCGCTACTAGACAAAGTAGCGCCATCCCAGCCTGGAGAAGAAGGATTGAGGACCGTATCGCAAAGGCAAGGGCCCTCATCGGCAGGCTATCAGCCTCAGCTTCAGGTCGGGCAATAATAGGCCGAGAATTGTGCGCACCGTCAGGATGGCGTTTGCTGGGACAAATATCAGTTTGTCCCAGCCGGATATAACGCAAAAACTGACGGAGCGCATAGACGACCTGAAGCAGAGAATTGTTGCTTGGGGGAAGCGGATTCGGCAATATACCGAGAGGTCGACACGGTTCAACCAGAATCGTCTCTTCCAGAGTGATCAGAAGAGGCTCTATGAATCATTGGAGCGACCAATGGTACGTGGAACGGGCCCAGCACCGAATCAGGCCGACACTATCGCATTCTGGCGCGGCCTGTGGTCAGAGCCCGTAAACCACAGTGAGGGCCCTTGGACGGAAGTTGTGGCGAGTCAGTATGCGAATGTTACGCCCATGGACCCCGTCATCATTACGCCGGATGACGTAGCTGAGGCGGTCCGTAGGGCCCCGAACTGGAAAAGTCCGGGACTCGACGGACTGCATCACTACTGGCTGAAGGGGTTCGTGGTGTGTCACGCTGTTCTCGCCCGACAGTTTCAAGAGGCTCTCGACCAAAAGTCGCTCCCGAGCCTCTTCACTACTGGGATCACTCAATTTGTTCCTAAAGACCGAGATTCCACAGACCCGAGCAAATACCGCCCCATAACGTGTCTACCTACCATATACAAGATACTGACATCCATTTTGAGCGCGAGAATCACTCGTCACCTGAACTCAAATCAGGTGATGTCGCGCGCTCAAAATGGATGTCGGGGCGGCGGTCGTGGAACCAAGGAACCACTCCTCATTGACGCGGTCATTGGCAAGGTGGTTAAACGCAACCGTCGGAACCTCTCCGCTGCCTGGATAGACTACAAAAAGGCATTCGACTCGGTGCCTCATACATGGCTGCAGAGGGTCCTCGAGCTGTACAAGGTTGACTGTACAGTTCGAGACTTCCTCGGGCAGTGTATGGGGCAGTGGAGTACGATCCTTTGTCATCTAGGCGAGCGGATGACGGCTGCGGAGAACCACATAAGGATAAGAAGGGGTATCTTCCAGGGCGATTGTCTGAGTCCAATCTGGTTCTGCCTCTCTCTGAACCCTCTTAGTACCTTACTGGAGGGTTCCAGGAGGGGATTTCAGCTTCGGAGAGGAGGTACAAAAGTGACCCACCTTTTCTATATGGATGATCTCAAGTTATTCGCCTCCAGTCGCTCTCATCTTATGGAATTGCTAAACATCACTTGTGATTTTAGCAATTCTATTAGAATGGAGCTGGGGACGGATAAGTGTGCGGTCCTCCATGTCGAAAGGGGTAGGGTTGCTAACTCTGAGGGCATAGACTTATCTATGCCCATCAACATAAGGACCCTATCCGAGGCTGAAACATACCGATACCTGGGTATGTCACAGAACATAGATATCGATGAGGCGGACATGAAACGGTCAGTTTGCGGTGTGTTTTATGCACGCTTGACAAAAGTGCTTAACAGTCTTTTGTCGGGCGTTAATAAGACACATGCATATAACGGTTGGATCATGCCTGTTCTCATGTATACCTTTGGCATACTCAGGTGGACTCAGACCGAACTGAACGCTCTGGACAGAAAAGTCCGCACTATAATGACGTCCCACAGGATGCATCATCCGAGATCGTCAGTAATGAGGCTGTACTTGCCGCGGAAGCATGGTGGGTGCGGCTTTTTAAGCGCGCTTACCATGCATAATCGCGAAGTGTGCAGCCTTCGTAATTACTTTCTGACGAGAGCGGATGATCCATTCTATAGGGACGTTATTTCTTGTGATAAAGGACTTACCCCTCTATCCTTAGCCAACGAGCAATGGCAAGACCCGGCAGTACAGAGCATTTCCGACCGGGAGACCGTATGGAAGGAGAAGGAGCTCCACGGGAGGTTCTACAAGGCTCTACATGAGCCTTGCGTAGACACAGTCGCCTCCCTCCACTGGCTACGTTTCGGTGACCTCTTTGGGGAAACCGAGGGTTTTGTCTGTGCGATACAGGATCAGGTTATTAAGACCAACAATTATCGGAAATACATCCTAAAGGATGGCGCCGTCAACATCTGTCGAGCTTGTCGCCATCCCGGTGAGTCACTTAGGCATGTCATCTCCGGTTGTTCGGTGCTTTCTAACTCTGAGTATTTGCACAGACACAACCTAGTAGCCAGGATTCTACACCAGGAGCTCGCTCTGAAATACGGTCTCGTGGATCGGAAACTGCCATATTATAATTACTTGCCGGAAGCCGTGCTTGAAAATGACCGCGCCAGGCTCTACTGGGACCGGGCCATCATCACGGACAGGACTATTCTTGCGAATAAGCCTGATATTGTGCTGATGGACCGGGCGCAGTCAAGGATATTTTTGGTCGACATTACCATTCCTTATGACGAGAACCTCGTGAAAGCCGAAACAGATACGTTGACAAAATATCTGGACCTGGCTCACGAGGTGACCGACATGTGGGGTGGTCTGCCGGCCGAAATTATTCCTGTGGTCGTCTCTGCGAACGGGTTAATCCCAGTCAGCCTCTCGGGTCATCTGAGGCGACTGGGACTCCGTGACGGACCGCTCCAAGCTCAAATGCAGAAGGCGGTGCTCCTCGATACCGCCCGCATCGTCCGCCGGTTTCTTTCCCTTTCTCCCTAACCCTCGGCCGTTTGGTCTCCCCTGCCGAGGGCTTCCATCTTGTTGGGTTTTTATATATTTATGTAATTTTTATATATATATTTTATTTTATTGATATTTATGTAAGTTTATCATTTTCATTTACAATTATATATTTATACAGCCCAACCAGATGAGAAAACTATACAAATACCCCATAATAATAATATAATTTATTTAGTTCTAAACAAAAACACAAATTAACATAACAAAATAAATTAATGGAATGGAACTAAAATGGCGTCTACTCAGCACAAATGTTATAGAAACCACATAGTGATAACTATAACGCTGATTTTCAGTAAACGCCAGAGACATAGTTGCAATAAAATAAACTTAGCCAATCACAGGCTCCAACATAAAAATAAAATATGCACTCTTATAAAATTTATAAATAATAATTAAAAAAAAACTGTTAACATTTAGGAAAGAAAGGCACAATAATAAGCCAACGCAAAAAAAAACCGTAACAAACCAAAAAACAAAACATATGCAAGGCACATGGCACACAATTAAATTATTTAATAAGATACAAAAATAAAATAAAATAAATAGAGAATTTAGCAAGTATTTTTATAATATACAAACATTCAATCAACCTTCTTAAGAAAGGTGTAATACATCGACACAGAACTAACTTTGCAAATTTAAAAGATATTTTTTTAGTTTTACTTTAAAAGTGCGAACTGTTCTGCTGCCCTTGATCGGAGGTGGTATATTATTCCAACACTTTGTGGCAGCATACCGAAAGCTACCACGAAACGCAGCCGTACAACTAGCGAACAGTTTTCCGTGAGAAACGTTGCGAGAAACTGAGCTTCTCATATAAGTATTTCGGTTGTTGATTTTGTAATATTTTATAAAGTACACAACTGTAGTGAACCGATCTACGAGATTTCTTGTTAATAAGTTTGCTCTGATTTAAAAACGGTGTCACGTGACCTCTACGAGGGATTCGAAAACAGAACCTAGCGCATGCATTTTGTACTCGTTGTATTACGAGTTTGGTTCGCGCAAGCAAACACTCTCCCATGACAATATCAGCATAATTTAGCTTCGAAAGTATTAGTGACTCACAAAGTTGAATTCTCAATTCTTCACTTAGGTATTCCCGAATATTATATAATAATTTAATCTGTAAAAACAATTTTTTACTGTATGCGTTACATGATTTTCAAACCTTAGTCTATTATCCATAATTATACCCAAGTTACGAACTTCGGATACTTGTTCAATATGGTTGCCATCAACAACAATTTTAGGCTTATGAGCATTCGTTCGTTCTATTAATTTCTTTGATACCAAAATCATGAATTTGGTTTTATTTGAATTTAAGATGAGTTCATTATTATTCGCCCACTCAGCGATCATGCTTAAATCCAGATTTAGTTTGTTAACTGCCTCATTAGTATCATCCGGCCTAAATGATATGTAGACTTGAAGGTCGTCGGCATATAAATGATACTGGCAATATTTAAAACAGCCCGTGATATCGGCACTGTAAAGGATAAACAGTAAAGGACCTAGAATAGACCCTTGTGGAACGCCACGAGTAACAGGAGATGCAACAGAAAAAATGTTGGTACCAGTTTCATTTCGAAGTCTGACGCGCTGTGTACGACCATTTAAATAACTTTCAAACCACTTTAATGCGTTACAGTCAAAACCATAATACATCAACTTCGACAGAAGTAAAGTAGTAACTATTGTGTCAAATGCACGCGAAAAGTCCAGCAGTGTCAAAATTGTAGCCTCTCCTTTATCCTGCGCTGTTAGAATATCATCGACAACACTCAATAGCGCTGTAACCGTGCTTAGTCCAGCCCTAAAACCTGATTGTTTTAGAGGTAAAATGTTGTTCTGGTTTAGATATTCCATTAATTGCATATAAACAGCCTTTTCAGCGATTTTAGATAAAAAAGGTAGTTTACTTATAGGTCGAAGAAGATTTAGTTCTACAGGTTGATTATTTTTTGGTATTGGAATTATAACAGCTTCCTTCCAGGTGTCTGGGAAAACTCCTGTCCGTATCGACGTATTAATAATGTTGGTTATAGCACTTAAAGTCCGTGGCAATGTTAAGACAACCATATCTTTAGTAATACCATCTACACCCATAGTATTTGTGGTAATATTTTTCAAAATTTCTAATACCAAGTTTTCATCCACTAATTTTAAAGTAAAAACCAACGAATTGAAACGGTTAGATTCAAAATAGCATAATGTTGAAGGACTTACACTATTGCTTCCTGGTATGTGTAGAAAATGATGATTTATGATGTCAGGATCATTCAAGTTTGATGGCAAATCAATATCTTTATTTTTGAAGTCTACCACATTTTTCTTTATATTTCTCCAAAGTACTTGAGGGTTTTTTGAATTGTTATTAATAAAGTAACGAAAATAGGCTGTTTTTTCACTCAATATAGCAGCATTAACAGTACTCTTCAGATCTTATAATATTTTTTGTCACCTTTGGAATTTATGCCTTTACATTTGGCTTGAGCTTTATCTCTTAGCTTCATCATTTCCCTAATCGTTGGTGTGATCCACGGATAGCTATGGCCTTTAATGTAAGATGTTCTTATTGGTGCATGAATATCAAACAGATACAATATTTGTGAATTAAAAGCCGTTACAGAACTGTTTACGTCATCACAAAGCAACTCTTCCCACAGTACAGCATCAACATCAGAATTAAATTGTGGTACGTTTATATCCTTAATTGGTCTATAAGTAATACATGTTGACACTTGCTTTGGCTTCTTTACATTCAAATCACAAGATAGAAAAGCGTGATGACTCAGATCTGGCCAATAGTCAACCTGTATATTAAATACATCACAGTTACTGCAAATCAAATCAAGTAAAGTTTCCGAGTGATCAGTAAAATGAGTCGCTTGTGTGACGTGCTGCCTCAAACCCATACACAGTAGAAAATCATTGAGCTTTTTTGAATTAGGATCTGAAGGTGCAAGCAAATTAATATTGAAATCTCCTAACAATACAATGTAGTCATTGGCTGAAAATGAACTGACTGTATCAGATAGATCATTTATAAAAGTATCAATGTGAAACGAAGGAGGACGATATGCAGTACCTATTGCAAGTTTCAAACCATTAGCTTTAACACTTAACCACATCTGTTCAATAGAGAGCGTACTCGGATGTTCCAGGACGCGAGCGTGGATACCATTTCTAATGTAAAAACCCACACCTCCTCCGCGTGCTCGGATGCTTGCAGGACGAGGTTTGTGCCGCAGCTTGTATCCTGGAGGGGAAGGTGTGCGCAGTTCCTCACCTGGCTTCAACCACGTTTCATTTATCGCCATTATATCTACCGCATGACGATCAAAGGAAACCAAAAATTCATCATGACGTGTACATAAAGAACCCGGATTCAGAAAGCCTAGAGATAATTTTCTTTACTAATAAATTGTATGACAAAAGAGTATGTTATCTGAACATATTTGCAATGAAATAAATATTTTCGTAGTAAAGTCAGATGTCGCATATCCACAAATGAACGCATTGATAAATGCAATAATATTTTATGAAAACCAACGAACGTCTTGTAATATCCGAATATATAGGCTATTCCTAGAACAGTTTTATTTAAAAATATTTTAAAGCACATTGTGGCATAGAAATTATCACTTAATATAAGACATAAAATGCTCGCGAAAAGTACAAAACTCAATATGAGTAAAACATAAAAAATCATAATAAAAGAGCAAATAAATACAACCTCTCTCAAAAACAACACTAAACAGTTCAGAAAATAACGTATACGCGTGAAAAAAGGAATACTTTTTGATAATTGAATAATTAAAAGTTTGTTATTATTTTGCGATACATTATTGTCGGAAATTGTATATATTATATTACAATTGTAAATGTTAGTGAAATCTTAATAATCGTATTAATTCTGACACAACAGGTTATTTCGCCTACGCGAATTTCAGATGTGGAGGATCATACACCTTCCCTGTTGGACCTTCTGCTGACTTCTCATCTGGACGGATATCAGGTTTCCGTCGATGCTCCTCTCGGCTCTTCGGACCATTGTCTGATCCGGAGTGTGGTGCCACTCACGCTCCCCTCGCGGTTGTGTTCTGCAGGTTGCCGCCGTGTTTGGGATTACAGCTCGGCAGATTGGGACGGAATGCGGTCTTTCTTTGCATCCTACCCATGGGGGCTTTGGGTTTGCTTCTCGCCAGATGATCCCAGCGCTGTTGCTGACTATGTCACTGATGTGGCGCTACAGGAAATGGAACTATTTATTCCATCATCTGTGGTACCCATCGGAGGCAGATCTCAGTCTTGGTTTGGTCGCTCCTGTAAGACTGCATTACGCAGTAAGCAGGAGTTTTATCAAGCCTGGGCTGCGGCTTCGACGAGTCGGGATGTAAACACCAGCATGCTTTAAAAAGAAGTATAAATTTGCCTCCAGGTCCTTCAAAAGAGTTATTGCCAAGGCAAAGTCAGAGCACATAGGCAGAATTGGCGAGATACTAGTTCACCTTCCTTCGGGAACCCGTGCATTCTGGTCTCTCGCCAAGGCTGTCCAAGGGAATTTCTGTAAGCCTTCACTACCATCTCTGCACAGGATGGACGACTCACTGGCCCACGCCGCAAAAGAGAAAGCCGACCTTTTAGGCTCCCTTTCTGCATCCCACTCGACTCTTAATGACGGGGAGAACACACCGCCGAACATCACGCGGTGTGAGTGCTCCATGCCGAATGTGCGCTTCTCACAGCGATCGGTCCGCAAAACACTCCTCTCCCTGGACATTTACAGGTCGAGTGTGCCTGACGGAATCCCCCAGTTGTGCTGAGAACGTGTCCTCCGGAGTTGGCACCGGTTCTAACGCATCTTTTCCGGTACTCCTACTCCTTAGGCGTAGTCCCGAAATCATGGAAAACAGATTTTGTCCACCCGATCTCTAAAACAGGCGACCACTCAGACCCATCCAACTACAGGCCTATTGCCATCACCCCCTTGTTCTCCAAAATAATGAAATCCGTTATAAACTGCCAGCTCATAGAGGATCACCAGCTGATTAGTGACCGCCAATACGGTTTTTGTCGGGGTCGATCAGCTGGTGATCTTCTGGTCTATCTGACTCAAAGATGGGCGGAGGCAGTAGCGTCCAAGGGGGAGGCATTGGCCGTTAGTTTGGACATAGCGAAGGCCGTCGATCGGGTTTGGCACAAAGCGCTTCTTCCGAAGCTCCTTTCCTGTGGGCTTCCCGAGAAATTGTGTAATTGGATCACAAACTTTCTTGCAAATCGAAGCATCAAGGTCGTTGTAGACGGTGCATGCACCGACTACAAGCCTATTAACGCTGGTATTCCACAAGGCTGCATGCTATCAACAACGCTGTTTCTTCTGCATATCAATGATATATTGCAAACCGGTAGCATTTATTGGTGGTTTGGTGGCACTGGTGATGCTCTATACACCGGCCAATATTTCTTGAGAAAACGTCGCCAAGTACTGGAACAAACTTGTGTCTGAAGTCTCGGATAGGGGGCGAATATATCTAGTCCAGTTTAATCCTCAGAAGACACAAGTTTGCGCGTTTACTGCTAAAAAGAACCCCTTTGTCGTATCTCCTCAGTATCAAGGCATTCCCCTTGATGCCTCAGCCAGTATCGGAATCCTCGGCGTCGATATATCGAGTGACGTGCAGTTTCGTGGTCACTTGGAAGAGAAGGCCAAATTGGCTTCTAAAAAGCTTGGCGTGCTCAGAAGAGCGGGACAGTATGCCGTAACGCCTGTAACTCTACAAGGCGCAGGTTCGGCCTCACATGGAATACTGTTCCCATCTCTAGGCTGGGGCTCCCCAGTGCCAGCTTCTTCTACTTGACCTCATCGGGCGCAGAGCGGCTCGAATCGTTGACGACCGAGTCCTTTCCGATCGACTAGATTCATTGACGCTGCGAAGAGATGTTGCATCTCTTTGCATTTTCTTTCGAATTTACCCCGGGAAGTGCTCTGAGGAATTGTTCGGATTAATCCCAGCCGCCAAATTTCACGAACGCCCATCGCGGCAGAACTCCTGATACCATCCACACTATCTGGATGATTGGAGGTCCCCCACTGTGCGATGTTGATGAAGATGTTTTCTTCCTCGCACAAATTTCTTGTGGAATAGTTTACCACCAGCGATTTTTCCGGTCCTATACGACTTATGGACCTTCACGAAAAGAGCCTACTCCTTTTTAAAAGGCCGGCAACGCATCTGCAATTCCCCTGGTGTTGCGGTCGGTCATGGGCGGCAGTAGTCACTTACCATCAGTTGAGCCGCATGCTCGTTTGCCCCTTATAAAAAAAATTAAAGCTATACCGTTACGGCCTATTAAAGTTCACTGTTAAAAATGGGGCTCCTCAATAGATTGTCTCACAAGGAGAATATTTGCTATAATGCCACGCCTGGCAAGCTAGTTGTCAACCGCAGTGTTTTTATTTTTAGTAGTTACTAAGAAGACGCTGCTGCCTATCTCCTCATTTGTTTCTCTTTGTCGCCTCTTACGACACCTTACTTAATAGAAAATAAAATCAGAAAGATTAGTTTATTCAAAAGAAATGTTATATAATGATATCTTATATTTATGCAAATACTACACACTGAGAATAAATATATTTTTACAGATTTTATCGCGTTTAATTTTATTGTTTTTAATTCCCGACGATTCGGGCATTTGTGGACATACCCGAAACGTAGAGAATTAAAACCAAATAAATTAAATGCGATAATATCCGTAAAAATAGTTTTATTTGAAGAAATATTGTATATTATGAACAGAACCAGCTAAAATAGTGGCTTCCTCTAAATAAATAGGCGACGCCTTAACTTGCAACATAGTGTTACAAAGTTTGGGTTGCTTTAAATTTCCAAGTTACATCATAAGTGTCCTTAAACACAGGAAAATATAGAGGATCCGGTGGATTAATAGTGTTCAAAAACTTAAAAGGTTATTTCTTACTTTCTCTTTTTATAAGAAAGAGCGATAAACGTGCTCACAGTTCACCTGTTTGTTTGAGGCTGTGATCTATAGACACTTACATCCATCTTCAATAAAAATCCTTAATTCTTCCCTCCCCATTCCATTATCAAACCACCAGCACGGCTAGCTTGGGCTGGGGACAAAAATTTTATCCCCCGATTATATCTACTGACAAGAGATAAAATTATCTTGTCCCTATGCCAA